GATATCGTGTACACGCCGATGAATATTGGCGGCAACCACTGGGTTATGATCGGGATTGATCTTGTGGAGGGTGATCTAACCGTATGGGACTCACTGTAGTCGATCACCCCGTTGAATGATCTCGAGAAGGCGCTCAAGCCAATGTGCACGATAATCCTAGCGATTCTTCATTGGAGCGGGATGCTCGAACTTCGGCCTAACCTGCCCACGGTGCCGTGGAGGGTCCGAAGACGTACTGTACCTCTGCAAGCCGGGTTCACAGATTGCGGCATATTTTGTGTTAGATTTTTTGAGTACGATGTAACTGGGTCAAAGATGGACACTTTGACTCAAAGTAACATTTCTTTATTTCGTCGTCAATATGCTGTACAAATGTGGGCTCGCAGACCCTTTTTTTAGTTGTAATTATTCTTTGTATCGATTTTTTTTCCACGGACCTAAATATGACCTATCATAATTTGTATTAGCATACTTATGTTTAGCTGTAGTCACTGATGAACGGTAACATAACATAAAACACGTTTGTAATCATATATGAAAGAATAGCAACCTATTGTTCATGCATGTGCATGGAATCTTACTTGGGGTACAAGCTACCTATTCATATCTAACAAAATACAAGGGAAAATTGACAAAATAAGCCTCCTGCAGGGGCCTTTTAAGTTTTTTAATCGCCCTTCTCCAAACACAAGTTTTCTAATCATTTGCTGACATCACCTACTTTGCCAAATCATTTGCTAACGGACAGGGCGTGAAGAAGAAGGAGATCATTAGCGCATTAAATGGATATAGATAGCTACTTGAAGTATGTTATAGATCGAGATCGTTCATTAGCGAAAGCGAGAGCGTTCATGAGCGAAAGCGAGATCTGATCGAGATCGAGAACGTGCATGAGCTTCATCGAGAGCGTACAACGAGAGCGGGAATGAGGTTGATCGTCATCGCGATCGAGAGCGTGCATGAGCTTGATCGAGAGCATACAGCGATAGCGTGCATGAGCTTGACGAGAGCGTACATCTAGAACGTGCATGGGCTTGATCGAGATAGTACAGCGAGAGCGTGCATGAATGAGGTTGATCGTGATCGATATCGAGAGCGTGCATGAGCTTGATCAAGAGCGTACAGCGAGAGCGTGCATGAACTTGACGAGAGCGTACATCTAGAACGTGCATGGGCTTGATCGAGAGCGTGCATGAACGAGAGCGAGAGAGATGAAAAGACGTGAAATTTAATTCTTTCAATT